TATGAGTTGGCAGAGAAGTAAAAGAGAAGTCTAAGTCAAGAAGAGAGAATGTGCAAATTATCTGAAGCCTCAGGTGCATGATATCTTGGAAGGAAGAAGTTAAAGAGCAAGGTGGAGGGAATAAAAGATTAAGATAGAGAAGTGTATACAGTAGGAGCCAGACCATGCAAGGTCTGTAGACTTTGTTAGTGATAGTAATTTCTTCATCTTAAAAGCAATAATGAGCTTTTTAACAGTTATTTGAAGAATAGCAATATGATAGAATTAGTATCTTTAGAATGTAATTCCCTCTAATAGGTTTTAAAGTGATAATAGTAAATATAGGCAAACTGGTTAGAGACCAGTTTGATAAACCACTGTTCATTGTTAGTGTAAATAAATGCAAATGATTTGGGATGTTGGTTTTGTATCCTACAACTTTGCTGAGTTTTCTAATAGTTCTAACAGGGTATTGTTTTGTTCTGTTTCTTTTGTTCGTTTGTTTTTTGTAGATCTTTAGTGTTTTCTATGTATATAATCATGTTGTATGTGAACACATAATTTTACGTCTTTCTTTAAATTCGGATGCCCTTTTCTTGTCTATTGACTCTGGCTAGGACTTCCAGTTTGGGCTGAATATAAATGGTGAGAATTGGCATCCTTGCCTTGTTCCTGATCTTTTGTTGCTGTAGCTGTTAATCCTCACCAGAAGATATTTTTCCACTGATTTTTTCTTTTTTTTCTTTAACATCATTTATTGAGTTGAGCAGTCTGTATATCCCTCCTCCATTGATTTTTAGGGAGAGTAAAAGACAGAGAAAGGGAAAGACAGAGAGAAATATTGATGTGAGAGAAACACATTGATTGATTGCCTACTGCATTTGCCTGACCAGGTCCCCGCTTCGGGAGGAGCCTAGTACATGCCCTTGACTGAAATCAAACCCTGGACCCTTCAGTCTGTAGGCAGAGGCTCTATCCACTGACCCAAACCAACTAGGGCTGTTCATATTTGCATTCCAGAAGTAAATCCCACTCGTTCATAGTGTATAGTTCTCTTAATACATTACTGAATTTGTTTTGCTAGTGATTTGTTGAGGATTTTTGTATCTTATCTTTCATAAATAATATTGGTTTTTAGTTTTCTTTTCCTGTAGTGTTCTCATTTGGCTTTGTTATTGGGGTAATGATGGCCTTATAGAATGAGTTTGGAAGTATTTCCTCCTCTTTGATTTTGTTGAAGAGTTTGAGGATTGGTGTTAAGTCTTCTTTAATTTGTGTTTGGTAGAATAACCAATGAAGCCAGCAAACTTGGACTTTCCTTTTCTGTA